TCTCTCCCCTCTCTAGGCCAGAGTAGGTGCACCTCAGCCTCGTAGGAGCCCTCACTTCCCTCCTGCTCCTTTCTGGCTCGAGGCTCTATCGAGTGGAAGACACCACGTAGGCTGTGGCGATGTACTTCCTGCCATTTCCATAGGTGGACTTGTCCCACGAATAGGTCTGGATGGCCAAGGGATGTCCACCTAGGCTTAACTTGCACCTGTGGAGAAGATCACGAAATCAGAAGTGCTCACCACTTCACCCTGCCTCTGTCCCCAGGCTGGAAGTCTCAAGCCCAACCCAAGCATAAGGGGCTGCATCCTGTTTAAATGGCCACTAAGACAAAGCTGCCACCACTTTCTTCAGCCACTACCCTCAGCTTCCCACGTGAAGGGAGACCTTTTGAAATCTATTCCCTGTTTTCTGTCTTCTAAAAAAAAAAAAAAAAGAACAAAACAGAACACTGTTCCTCATCCCCAGAGCAATATTCTAAAATCCCTAAAATTTCTAGAGCTGAAATCCTCAGAAAGTAAATGTCTGCTTAGGTCTGCATTAGTAGACAACATGAGGGTCTGTTTCCCTCTCTACTCTCTGTGGCTCTAGGGTTCCTCTCTCCTCCCCCACTCCTCCCCACCCCCAAAGCACCAACCAGCCTCAGGGTCCAAATAGAGAGGCTTAGAGCCCCAGGGCAACTCCATTTCTTTTTTTCTTTTTTTTTTTTTTGGCAACTCCATTTCTAACTGTCTAATATACAAAGATCCTTAACATATAAGAAATATAAGACTTCTTTTAGGGGGAAAGAGGGAAGGTGGTTCTGCTGCTAAGACAAAGTCTGACAACCTTATTACCTAATCTAACAGCTCACAAGAAAGAAAACTTGAGGCTCAGAACAGCGATTGGAGGCTTGGCACCTATAGCTCAACCAGCTAAGGCACCAGCCACCTACACCTAAGCTGGCGGGTTCGAATCCCCAGCCCGGACCCGCCAAACAACAATGACGGCTGCAACCCAAAAAAAATAGCCAGGCGTTGTGGCGGGCGCCTGTGGTCCCAGCTACTTGGGAGGCTGAGGCAGGAGACTCGCTTGAGCCCAGGAGTTGGAGGTTGCTATGAGCTGTAATGCCAGGGCACTCTACCCAGGGGGACAGCTTGAGGCTCTGTCTCAAAAAAAAAAACAGCGATTGGCCCAGCCCTCTCCACCACTGGGTGGCAGAATGCAGGTCTCCTGACTCTGTCCTGGCCGAGGACAGCCTGTGCCCTGGCCTGCTCCCTAGGCATAGCTGGCCCAGTGCTTACGCTTTGCCAGGCCTGGCGATGAAGCATAGGGAGTAGAGTGCAAACTCAAACTCCGGGCTGCTGCCGATGAACGCGGCACCCACTTCCTTATAGTAGCCATCCCAGTTGAACTGCATCGCCAGCACATCGGGGTAAGAATCCCACTGTGGAAAGAAGAGCAGCCCCGGGGGCCTGGTGAATGGCACAGATAGAAGTCATACAGGTGCCAAGTGGCAACAGTCAGCTAGTATTTGCTGAGGGTCTATTAAGGCCCGTGTGAACCTGGATTCTTCAAATAGTTAGAGGGAACAATCTGCCTTGCTGAGTTGTCTGAGCCCCACTCATACTCTCTGTCTGGAACCACCAATGTGTACCTACTAGGGAGGCTAGAGTCAGCGTCCGTATGACTGATCCATGGTGACAGGGACATAACTGTTCCCTGTAGCCCTCATGCATGAAAGAAAGGACAGTTTATTGCTCCAATTATTTCCTGACACACACAAAATAAAGGTCTCTGTCTTATAAAATGTATGAAGTTTAGCTTAGGCCAGCCAGGCTGAAACTTCCACATTCTCAGGAAATTCAGGGAGGAGATAATTACACATTTTTGTTTCTCCCCTCTGAGAATCTGCCTTGGCCCCAGCCTCTCACCCAAATATGCTGCCCTTAGCCTCCTGTCCCCTGCAGTCTGGAGTTTTTATTGTTTAGAAGAAAATCCAAGTGTCTTATCTGGCTAAACATGCTCTCCAGAAGAAAAGGACATCATGGTCACAATCCCCACTGGGCTGCCCATGAGCGTCAGGGAGAGAGACAGGTCTGGCGATTTGGAAAGCAGAGTGAGGGCAGGAAATCTGGCACTGACAAGGCTTTTCTTGCCCAGGTACTCACAGGCCCGTCATAGACATAACTGTAATAGTCAACCAGGCCCTCCTTCTCCTGCAGGTAGAAGCGGATCCAGTTATGGAAGCCGGTGACCTTACCTTTCTTGACTTCACCTATAATAAAGAGTCCAAGGTGGGTGATCGGAACTCCTTCTCTGCTCCATCCCCTTTCTTCTCCTCATGCCAAGGCTGTCTCCTTTCTCTAGTCTTCCAGAATGTCCGGCTGCTGAACTCCTGCCCTGACCTCTCTGAGTGCCTCGCACCCCTATCTCTCAGCTCAGGAAGGCCTCCTTTTGGCTCGAGGCCTTGGGGAATTCTTCCTCCTGCTGACCCCGATAACCACTCTCCATATCCCCAGAAGCAAGCCAGGCTTGGTGGGAGCTTTATGGGGTGAGGCAATGGTGGGAAAGGCCATGGTCCTCTTGGGAAGCAGCTGACCACACACTGGAAGCAGAGGAGTGTCCAGAAGCAGACAACCTTGCCCCAGACACTTTTTCTATCTTAGATGTACCCCCTTGGGAGCACCTGTATCTGATCCTCTTTCCTCCTTAGAACTTGAGAAAAGACTATTTCCTGACATGGCTCCCCAGACACCTCTGTCCAGGCCTGGTACTCTAAGTATCTTTCTCTGCTAGGTTGCTTGGCTACTGATTAACCATTGTCTGGGGTTGTGCTATTCCTGACCAAAGCCATTTTTCTTCACCCCCACAACTATTTATTGCCAAGCAGAGTGATCTCACCTGAGAAGACGTGTTCAAACCCACTTGAGTCTCCCTTTTCATCACCTCTCGAATAAAGTCCAAACCACATATTCTTTAAGTCACTGACGAACTCTTGTTCTGAGCTGTAGCGGTCTGCAGAGGGGAACACAAAGGGCATAGATGGGGATGCAGGGAAGGGCCACCTTCTCTGGCACATCAAAAGACACATGGGTCAAATCAACAAATGTCTACAGTTGCTTATTCAACAGTTATCTAGGGAGCATCTATTTAGTAGTGGGTCCAGGCCTATAGGCTGCAGATTTAACAGAAAATAAGAACACAGTCTCTATAGTTTACATTCCAGTGGAGGAGACAAATAATAAACAAGTAAACAAGAAAGAAATAATATAATTTCAGATAAATGCTTTGAAGCAGAGTCACCCTTAATCACCAAAGAAGCAATGGGAAGTGGAAGGATCTTCTAGAAAGGACAATCAAAAAGGCTTCTCTAAGAAGGTGACATAATCAGAGACCTGAAAGATAAGGAATGGGGTTCATGGCTTGGCACCTGTAGCTCAGCGGCTAGGATGCCAGCCACATACACCAGAGCCAGTGGGTTCAAATCCAGCCCGGACCTGCCAAACAACAATGACAACTGCAATCAAAAAATAGCTGGGTGGGTAGCACCCGTGGCTCAAAGGAGTAGGGCACCAGCCCTATATGCCGGAGGTAGCAGGTTCAAACCCAGCCCTGGCCAAAAACTGCAAAAAAAAATAAAAATAAATAAAAGATGTTTAAAAAAAATAGCTGGGCATTGTGGTGGGTGCCTATAATCCCAGCTACTTGGGAGGCTGAGGCAAGAGAATCGCTAAGCCCAAGTGTTTGAGGTGTCTGTGAGCTGTGATACCACAGCACTTTACCGAGGGTAACATAGTGAGACTCTGTCTCAAAAAAAAAAAAAAAGGAATGGGGTTCACAAAGATTGGGAGGGAGATTCTTCTATGTAGAGGGAATTACAAGTGCCAAAGGCTCCAGGCAGACTTGAGTTTGATGCTCAAAGAACCAAAAGAAGGTCAATGTGGCTGGAGCACAGTGAGCAGGAAGGGAGATTGGTAGGAGAGGAAGTTTGAGAGATGGGCAGGGGCCAGATCCCATAAGCCATTGCCAAGAAAGTCAAATCTCAGACAAGTAGGTATCAAACAAAAAATTTTCAGTTTACCAGGCACTTTTTGTGTTGCTAGCACTGTTTCAAGTAAGTGCTTTTGATATAACATTGAACCCTCTCATTAAATCTTCACATAGGTTAACACTAATTATCCCCAAGTTAGAAATGAGGAAACCCAGGCAGACAAAGATTATAAAACTCATACCAAATCACAGTTCATATAAGAGAGAGAGACAGCACTTGAGCCCACACAGTCTAGCTCCAGAGATCAGTCTCTTCAAAACTCTGGAGTTTCTGGGTCAGGCAGAGCCACTGAAGGGTTTTCAGCAAAGGAAATATGTGTCAGGAGCTTTGAAAGGACCACTCTGGTTGTGTATGCCAAAATGTTGATGGGGTGATATGAGCGGAAGCAGAGAGACCAGTTTTGAGGCTAGTACTCTGTCCAGGTGAGGAGTTGACAGTGGCTTAGATTGTGGTGGTAGCTGTAGAGGAGGTGGGCAGCAGGGAGACCCTGAATATGCCCTGATGGTGGGAGTGATGGACATCTGAAGGAGGAGATGGCTGTGTGGGGGCAGGGAGGTAAAGGGAGGAATTAGTTCTAACTCCTGGGCTTTGGGCCTGGACAACTGGATGAATTATGCTGTTATTTACAAGATGAGGAAAACCCAGGGAGGGGCCAGTCTGGAGGAAGAGGTGGGAACCATGAGTTCCTCCTAGTCTAATTTTTGTTTAGACACCAGTTCAATAGCCAAGTGGAGATATTGAGATGGCCCTGTGCACCCACAGGAAAGGTCAGTGCTGAAGATTTAAATTAGGGAGCCATCAAATATCGACTGTTTACTCCCCTAAACTTTATAAGGTGGATACAAAAGAAATACCAGACATATTCTCTTCTTTCTTAAAACACATTTGGAAAACAAGGCTAAACACAAATGAAGTAATAGAGAATGATGTCACTAACTGAATAGCTATTGTTCCTGAGTACTTCCTGGGAGCCAGGCTTGCTGCTGGGGGCTTTCTAAGCATTCATCATCAAAGACCACATTTCATAGGTGAGACTCACAGAGGTCAAGGTTGCCCAGGGTCAAACAACCAGCAAGTGCTTCAAATCAAGTCTCTCTAGCCCAACGCTGTTTGGGACCACACCCCCAACTCCTCCACCTCTGCAGAGATGCTAAACCCAGTGTGAGCCTTCACAAATGTGGTGGGACATCAGCTAGAGCTTTAAAGATAAGTGGGATTTGGACAGGGATAGAAAGGAGGAAAGGGTGATGGACATTAGAGCCCTGGGTACCAGCTGGGTTCTGCTCCCAAATCCTTTGTGACCTCAGGTACATCCAGCCTGTCTGGTGGTTTCTCTCACTTGAAAAACCCTCACTCAGCCTCGCCTGCCAAGACTCTCCGCACATTTACACAAAGAGAACGCCAGGGGGCGGCACAGGACTGCTTCTCCTTCACATGCTCGCTCATGTGTCACTGGTTTCACCTACAAAAGGCGCCACCAATTCCTAGGTGGACAAAACACAGCAGACTGAGCCAAGATCTCAGGGACAACGAGAAGAGAACCAGACAGAGCCACCCCTGAGACAGAGCCCAGCTGCCTGGAGTCCGAGAAAAGAATCTGGAGGACACTAACAACCCAACCCCACGCCAAGAAGTGCTGCCGCCCAACCTTTTTTGGTCAGACTGGAATGTATCTGTGCCTTGGATGCAGTCCAACCAGATCTCTTCCCTCTCTGGACCTTTGTTGATCTTCTGTTGCTGTTTCCCCAGCAAAAATGTGGAGTCAGCCCTCACCCCCTTTCCAGACTCAGGGCAGGAGGGTGAGTCAGGGCCTCTACCAGGCAGGGCCTCTACTCACTAGACCCCAGTGCCGGCTCTGGGGTCCACAGGGGTGGGCTGAAAGGTGCCTTGAACTGGGGGTGGATGTGAGGGGAGGGTCACACCTGGCAGAGAACCAGAGACTGAAGCAGAGGGTGGGGATACACGAGGAAGCTAATGATGCATCAGGCAGGTGATTTCCAAACAGCCAGATCATCTTCAGCTCCTGGTTGGGTTCACACCCTTTCCTCGGCTTCTCTCTGGCCTCATCCATATAGACACTGACCTCCACGTAGTAGCCTCCATAACCTCCTCACCTGCCCTCCAAACCTCCCACCGTGGAGACCCAGAGGCGCCTGGCTCTCCTGCACAAACACCACGTCCTTGGCACTGCCATCACTCACTCTGGTGATGCAGGAAGCTGTAGAGCTCCTTCATGACTGCTGTCTTCATGATCTCCCTGAGGAAGGTGTCCTGCTCGGCCAACTGCTGGGCACTGAAGTGCTCTCCGTGGCCTGTCGCCCGCTGGTAGTTGTTGAGGAGGTTGATGAAGGCTGCATAGGTGGGCTTAGAAAACAGCTTCTCGTTGACATAGGTGAAGAGTCTGGGGAAGGCAGAGGGGACCCCTGAGAGACCTACATGCAGAGAAAGCTCCAGAGACACCTAGAGAGGCTGGGGGCAGGACGTGAGGGCTGATGCAGGAGCTGAGGGGGGCTTCAGATACTTTTGAAGCCCACGCTTGACGTCATGTTTCTTCCATCTCAGCACAGCCCATCACAGAAACCCTCTCAAGTGAAAACCCACAGTCCCTCACTATGGCTTTAGTTGTCCTTGAAGAACTTTTTTTCCATCCCTTTGACCCAGCCTGACTTGAGAAAAGAGCTGAGCCATCAAAAGCAGCGAGGATGAGGGAGAGAGTTTTGGGGAGCGGAAGAGGGCTGAGGGGAACTCACGGCTCTGGGCAGCGATCCACTCGGTCTCTGGTCTCTGAGGGGGAGATGCACTTTTGGCTGTTGAGAATGATGTCTTCCTTCTGGGCTTTGTTGGTGTCTGCCCCATAGATCTTCTCAGAGATAGTCTGAAGCTCCTCTTTGGTTATGGTATCACTACTGTGAGAAAAGCCCTCTGGGAGGAATTGGGGGAAGGCTGGTCTCAGAGTGGGGCAGTGGGGTAGGAAATGATCTGTGGACATCCTCTCCCAGGTACCTTCGAGAAGCCAGCAGTGAGGGAGAGGGGCCACAGTCTGACACCCTGGTGAGTGGGGGGCAGGGGCATAGAGCCTAAAGGACCCTTAAAATCAACACATGGCATTGTCCACAGGGTGGGCCCAAAATGTCCACTCTGCCCCTTCCCTTTCGGAGAGTTCTCCCACTGGGCATGCTTCATGGTCACCTGGAGGGCTTGCTAAACGGAGGGGTGAGCCCCACCCCCAGAGCTTCTGATTGAGTAGGTCGCCAGGAGGCCCTACGTTAGAGTTTGTGTGTCTAACAGGTGCCCAGGGGATGCTGAGGGGTAGGTCCAAGGACCATACTCTAGCGTCCCTCTGTCTCTGGGGCTGTGCAAAGGGAGCAGGAGACTGACCGTGGTCGCCACACAGACTCTCGAAATCCTCGCAGCAGTTCCCAAACTCTTGGCAGCGGGCGTTGCAGTGGCAGGGCTGGTGCTTGTCGAAAGCCTGGCGGCAGCGGCCCCGACAAGAGGTGGGTGCTGAGTACAAGTCTGAGAACACAGGGGCGGCGTGTCCCGGGATGACCTGCAGAGGGCGCCCCGCGCGCCCCGCAGCCCCCGCGCGCCCTGGCTCTCCTGCCTCTTCTTATTCAAGGTCTCCCGGGGAGGAAAACAAACAAGCTCAATTCGTGCACACCCTTCACAGTCAGGAAGTCCTTTCCGATGCCGAACTTTACTTTCTGGCGTGCTGTTTTTCTAATCTTCCCATTCTAAAAATAAAACCTCTTCCACTTCCCTCTCCAGGCCTCAGACTCTCTTTCCGGGCTACTCCCCTGTCCCCTGAGGGGCTGGCTGAACCCCTCAGCTTCTTTCCTCCCAGGCCCCAAGAGTCCCCGGAGCCCGCTCATCTGGCTCCAGCCTGGGCTTGTTGCCTCTGCTGTGGCCGCGCTCTCCTTGTCACCCCTCACATCCCTCCCAGGAAGGCCCCCATTTGGGAAGGCAGGCTCACGGCTGGCCGGGGCCTCTTCTGCCTCTTCCTCTTCCTCCAGCTCCAGGAATGGCTCTGGCTCTTCAAGGTCCTCTGCAGCTGTAGGTACAAAAATAAAGTCACCCACCACCCAAGGATTCCCCTCCATCTTTGTTCTGGTCCTCTACTCTCCCACCCTAGGGACAAGCGAGGGCATATGGAAACACATAATAAACAGAGACCAGATCTGATGGACAATCAGGAAATAAAGGATGAAAACTGAAAATGGAAGACAGATTATTGAAAACTGTCATAAACAACGAAAATAACCTACCAGGTGACAAATCTCCTAACCCTTCATTCGGGGACCCAGTGTGCTCATCTGAAAAGGGGGGGGGGCTGGAGAAGGTGGTCCCTCTGGATTAAAAACTGATTTGGATTATGACTTTACTTTCTTTCTTCTTCTTCTTCTTCTTCTTTTTTTTTTTGGTGGTTTTTGGCCGGGGTCAGTACCCTACTCCTTGAGCCACAGGCACCACCCAATTATGACTTGACTTTAACTAAAGCTGACAGATGGCTGGAGAGTCTTGATACTCTCCAAATGACAAGGCCCTCACTTTGGAACATCTCATACTGTAATAACTCCTAATCAGAGTCAAGGGTAAATTCTTAGGGCCTCAAGAAATAAGAAATGTTTCCTGAGATACCAGCTTCCTCTCCTTTCTTTACCCGCCTTGGAAAAGGGCACAGAGATGGTGTTTAGGGGCAGGACACATTCAGAAAAGAGCGTTCCTGTTGCTGCTTTATTCTCTTAACCTGCAAGCTAAGTGAGTAGTCTCTGGACAGAGGAGGGTGGGGGTTAGGGAGGCAGAGGAAGGAATATTTCCGGGAATTATGAGCTCCTGCCTCATCACACAGTGGAATAATTACCTCCACACATGTGCACGCATACACATCCAAGAAACGACACTGTTAACAAAGTGATTCACAATCTATTAGTGAATTTGTGGGCTCAATTTGTGTTATTAACATCAGAACCACCAGTCAGGTTATGCATTCAATCAAACAATAACTGATCCCTCACTTTGTGCCAAGCTGTGTTCTAAAAATTGACAATTCATAGGATTCTTAATTCCGCTACATCTTATGCCAAATCGATTTTTATGAGCTAAGTACTAACAATCATTTACAACATGTTTTTACTATGAGAAAGGGATTCCGAGATTCAAATCAGAAACTTGGAGATGAAATGACTGCTAAGCTGGGTATTGTCTTTATCTTGAAATGCCAGCCTGATGGCCCATGGCGAACAGACCTTAGTGTGTCTACTGAATGCCAAGAAAAAGCGGGGCCCCAGGGGGAGCAAAACAGGGGTAAGCTCTGACTCTGGCACTGAGCTCAGCCTGGGCCTCCCTGCCTAGCCTGATCATCAGGGTCTCTGCTAAGGTATATGATCTTTTGTGTAAATTGAAAAAAGCTTCCATGTGAGTGGAAGCAGCTCTGTGGGTACGTGGCTGGGTCAGCATTTACCATCTTTGGGCAAATGAGGAAAAGGCACTTCTTCCTCTGAGAAGATACAACTCCATACCAGGGTACACACTTGATGAGAAGGGTACAGACTGGATTCTAGTCCAACTTGCCTGCACGGCCAGGTGCCCTGTGCAACCATAGGCAGTGTTCTTACTGACCATTACCTAACAAGGCTTCACTGACCATATTTTCCAAACTGGGAGTTGGGGCACATGATTTCATAGTGAACCCAGCAAGGCTTCATGTCACAAGTAGAAAATCATTATGGGGACTCTATGTCCCCAGAAGCACCTAAATAAGAAGATGATTCAAAAATAATCTTTTAAAATACTTCATTTAAAACCGTGCAGAACTGGCTTTTGAGGGTGATATATATCCTGTTTGGATTTTTGTACTGGTTTGGTTTTTGGTTTTTTTGAGACAGAGTCTCATTCTGTCATTCTGGTTAGAGTGCAGTAGGATCATCGAAGGTCACTGCAACCACGAACTCCTGGGCTCAAGTGATCCTTCTGCCTCAGCCTCCTGAATAGCTGGGACTATAGGTGCCCACCTAGCACCTAGCTAATTTTTCTTTTCTTTTTGAGACAGGCTCAAGCTATCGCCCTTGGTAGAGTGCTGTGTCGTCACAGCTCACAGAGCTCCAACTCTTGGGCTTAAGCAATTCTCTTGCCTCAGCCTCCAAGTATCTGGGACTATAGGCCCTTGCCACAATGCCTGGCTATATTTTTTTCTTTTTTTTTTTTTGAGACAGAGTCTCACTTTGTTGCCCTCGGTAGAGTGCTGTGACATCACAGCTCAACCTCAAATTCTTTTGGGCTTAAGTGATTGTCTTGCCTCAGCCTCCCAAGTAGCTGGGACTATAGGCGCCTGCCACAACACCGACTATTTCTTGTTGCAGTTGCCACTGCTGTTTTAGCTGGCCAGAGCCACCCTTGGTATATGGGTCTGGCGTCCTACCCACTGAGCCCCAGGCGCTGCCCGGCTATTTGGGGTTTTTTTTGTTTTTTTGGGCTTTTTGTTTTGTTTTGTTTTTGGTTGTAGTTGTCATTATTGTTTGGCAGGCCTGGGCTGGATTCAAACCTGCCAGCTCCAGTGTATGTGGCTGGCGCTCTAGCCACTTGAGCTACAAGTGCCGAGCCAATTTTTCTATTTTTAGTAGAGACAGCATCTCACTTTTGCTCAGGCTCGTCTTGAACTCCTGAGCTCCAGCAATCCACCTGCCTCAGCCTCCCGGAGTGCTAGGATTACAGGCATGAGCCACCACACCTGGCCTCATGTCCCATTTTTAATCGGTGGGTTGGGAATGACACTTTGGAGAGTTTGTGGCCACAGAGTTCACTCACTAGAGAAAAAGTAGTACGAATAGAGTCAGTTACTGTGGCACCAGGCAATCTTCCTGGGGGCATGCAAGCTGAGAGAATTCGCTGCCATTCTTATACTTATGTGATATAAAGTGTTGAATAATGGTAACGTCATACAGACAAAATATCATTTTCATAATTTTGCTCTTTTTTTGGAATTAGGTACTTAAACTTTCAAGATATCATTAATACAAATAGTTCAGACAGATATTCCAGATAAATGACATTGACTATATTTTAAGCTGGGGACATCCTAGAAAACCTGCAATGAGTGGTGGGGAAACCTCTGACCCCTGCTTCTGTCCCTCAGTGCTCTCCTGCCAGGCCATAGACCCTGTCTCATCAGTCCTAACCCCTGCCCTGGACTGCTGGACAGCCAAGCCAATGGCGCCTAGGGCAGGCTGGACGTGCGCATGGCCTGTCCTTCAATGCATCCCAGACCGTCCATCCCTCAAGAAGCCTCACCTGTACACAGATGTTCATAGTCTTCACAGCAGTCTCCATGCCGGGGACACTGGTGGTCACACTGGCAGGCAGCATCCTGGTTAAATTTCTCTTTACAGCGAGATGCACATGACTCCAATTTTCCTGTGGGCAGTAAAGGTCACAAACTCAGCTCCTTGGGAACCCTGATCTCCCCCTAAAGGTCTCTCTTGCAGGTTCATGACAGTGGCAGGAGCACACCTGGCAGGGAAGGGCCTTGCTCTCTGTGCAGGAGAAGTACATCCACAGCCTCCCGTGCTCAACATAAGCCCCCTCCCCAGCACCCAACACCCACCAAATACTTAAACATTTGTAATACAGACCAGAATCACAGACTCTGATGCCACTCAGGTTAGGCCTGAACATAAGCAAGCAAAGAACCAGAGCATGAGGCAGTAGGAGGAGGTGGGCACTGTGACGAACTTGATTGCAATGGCCCTTCTGAAGTTTGGGGCACTGCTTGGTGGGTTGCTACTATGCTGCAAGGGGGAGCTCGGAGTTGCCAGAGCCTCCAGTTTCTGAAAAGAAGCCTTCATTTTTTTTTTTTTTTGAGACAGAGCCTCAAGCTATCCCCCTGGGTAGAGTGCTGTGACATCACAGCTCACAGCAACCTCCAACTCTTGGGCTCAAGAGAGTATCCTGCCTCAGCCTCCCAAGTAGCTGGGATCGCAGGCACCTGCCACAATGCCCAGCTATTTTTTGGTTGCAGCTGTCATTGTTGTTTGGCAGGCCCAGGCTGGAGTCAAACCCACCAACTTAGGTGTATGTGGCTGGTGCATTAGCCACTTGAGCCACAGGCGCTGAGCCTGAACCACAGGTGCCGAGCCAAGCCTTCATTTTTATATGAAAATTTTCAAGCTTTGAAAACTTCAAGCAGGCCAAAGGAAGAGGTCTGTAAACTAGAAGTGGCCCACAGGCCACCATTCACCTGCCATGTCGATGAAGGGAAGTCTGCCCCCCCAGTGACGCCACCTGCCCTCTGCCCTCCCCCCTTGCTCTCATCCCACCCCTTTTCTGTGCTTGGCTTCTTTGTGCTCCTTCACCTGGCCTTCACTGCACCCTATTTTCCCCCCTGCTTTGCATCTCTCTGCTCCTTCCAGGCTTTGGAATGCATTCAGATGAGTTTCTCCTTGGGGTAGGGAGTGAGGCGGGTGTGGGTGAGAACTGGGCTCTGGCATAGGGTTCCATTATGTAACCACAGACCATATCCCCCGCTCCAGCCAAATGGTTTGCAGAAGCAAGCTGTTGGTCACAAGGGAGGTAAGACAAGACACTTTGAAAGGAACAGGAAAAACCCACTCTCCATTTGGAGCTCGAAGGATGACAACAGAGTCTTTGTTCAACTTGAGGTTCCTGAGGTTTGAACTTCAAGAAGCCTAGGATTATGGGTCAGGCTGTGGCTTATGGAGAGTGTCAAGATCAGTGTCTCAGTTGCCATCAGCATCTGATTCTATCATGGGGGGGAATTGAATTCTAATTTGAACCAAGGTTGAGGTTAGTTAAATTAAGAGCTATGGTTAGGATCTGGGTGTGAGTTAAATTTATTGATAAAGTTATAATTTTGTGTTGATATTTGGATAAGGAATTGTGTTAAATTTAAGATGATATTCAGGGTGGGGGAACATGTCAGGATTAGCAGAGAAATAATTCCAGTGTTGCCTTAGATTATACATAGAGCTTGATTCTGGCTGTGATTGAACAAGGATAGAAGCTCAGTCTAAGCCTGAATGGAGTTGGAGGTCAATATTAGTGATAGGGGTTTAGTTACTGGTTTAGATTCTGGGATTAGGTTTTATCTTGTGTTAATTGAAAGACGGCATAGCAGAGAGGTTAAGAACCTGGTCTCTGGCACCAAACTGCTTAAGGCTGGAATTCTGGTTCTGCTGCTATCTAACTATGTGATCTTGGGCAAGTTATTGAACCTCCTGTACCTCGGTTTTCTTATCTATAAAAGTGGAATAATAAGGGAGCCTATCTTATAGAATATTTATAAGAATTAAATGAGTTAATATTTGTAAAGCACTTAGTACATCACAGTACATAGCAGCGCCATGTAAATATTTGTTAGGTAAATAAACACTGGCAATATTTCATGTCCATCTTCAAAGTAGTGAGTGTTCAGACTGGCTGGAGCAGTTTTCTCTGTGGAGTGGCCCTGTCGACATACTGCATTTCATTGACACCCTCTCTGGATTTCAGCTGGGCCGTCCCTTGGCCTGGGTTGTCAGTACATCCGTGTTGCTGATGATTTCCTGAAATCATCACTGTGGGTCTGTATGCTTTGCATCAGAGAGGTATCAGGTCAAGGTTAACCCAGGTCAACCTCACATTGTCTACAAGGCCCCCAAGGAAGGCAGGCCTTTGGTCCAGTGGATCTTCCCTAAAAGGACCAGGCCCAAGGTCGCTTGTTCCTAAGATTCAGGAACTCCTCCTGAATCTTAAATAATGCTCCCTTGGAACTTGAATGCAAAAATCTTAAGGAGAAACTTTTATCCCTTTAGCTGCCTGCTCAGTCCGCTGGCAGTACACCCAGAATCCAAAGGAAGAGAACTCAGACAAACCAGGGCAATGTTTTTAATGGGCCAAATCAACAGAGTCGAAGGAAAGAATTCATTCCATTCCAGCAGCTGGCATCAGCTGAGAAGCGTTACAAGTGTATGGTCAGCTGGACAGTTCAGAGAGCACTCCCACCAGCCCACTCTGGGGGCACTTTTCATCTCTGTTCATGAATATTGTCTCCAGCAAGAGCCTCATGCCATGTGGTCCTTGCATTTCTCTGTAAACTTGGTCTGCTTCAAGGTGACCTTGGGATTTGAAGGGGGGGGCAGGGGTGGAAGGGACTTTTCTTCAGAGGCACCTTTCTGTGCTGTTCTGGGGACACTCAGATGACTAGTCACCCTGACTACTCACTCCAGTACTCCTATCTCATGCCTCCTGTTGACACAGATGTTCTGTGCAAGCCTCACTCCCCAAGCCAGGTGCTCGAATCACTGTTCCAGCAACCTGCCACCCCTTGCCCCTCCACCTCGCCTCTCTGGCTCTCTCTGCCTTTCTTCATCTGGGCCTTTCCCCTCCCAGGTTTAGATTCTCCCTCCATTCCCCATGAAGAGCTTAGATCCTCCCTGCTGTCAGGAAATGCTAAATTTTTCTTCACCCTCTAAGACTTCAATATGCCAGAACATTACTCCCTGTCCTTCCTGGCAACCCAGAAAGCTCAGTCCCAAGCCTGAGTGGACAGGGTCCCTCTATGCCAGCTCTCACCCCTTGCCCTTTCTGATGGCTGGAGCACTCTGCACCTGGGCTGCTCAGGGGTCCCAGATGCTGTTCCCAGGGGGACAAAGGGCCACAGGTTGCTGGAACAGTGATTTAGGTGCCTGGCTTGGGGAGTAACACTTGCACAGGACATCTGTGTCAACAGGAGGCGTGGGGTGGGAGTACTGGAGTGAGTAGTCAGGGTGACTAGTCATCTGAGTGTCCCCAGAACAGCACAGCAAGATGCCTCTGAGGAAAAGCCCCTTCTACCCCTGCCCCCCCCCCAAATCCCAAGGTCACCTTGAAGCAGACCAAGTTTACAGAGAAATCAAGGACCACATGGCACGAGGCTCTGGGTGGAGACAATGTTCTTTTTTTTTTTTTTTTTTTTTGAGACAGAGCCTCAAGCTGTCCCCCTGGGTAGAGTGCCGTGGCATTACAGCTCACAGCAACCTCCAACTCCTGGGCTCAAGCGAGTCTCCTGCCTCCGCCTCCCAAGTAGCTGGGACTACAGGCGCCCGCCACAACGCCCGGCTATTTTTTGGTTGCAGCCGTCATTGTTGTTTGGCGGGTCCGGGCTGGGGATTCGAACCCGCCACCTTAGGTGTACGTGGCTGGCGCTCTAGCCGGTTGAGCTATAGGTGCTGAGCCGAGACAATGTTCTTGAACAGAGATGAAACGTCAACCATGAAACTTCACCTCCCAGACCAGCTTCCAGCCTCCATTCACCACCAAGAAACCAAGGTCCTCACCAGGCATCCAGATCATAAAAGAGGAGCTGAGGCTGACAATGACTCCCCATATGATTCATATTCCTGCATCTAAGTACTAAGATGTTGGGATAGTGCACACAAGAACAGAGCCTCTTCCTAACCTACGTGGCCCTCACACCCTGCCCTACCTGCAGCTGGATTAGATCAGTGCTCTCACGCCCAGCAGCAAGGGCTCTGCCTGCACTCCTTTGCGTGTGTGTGTGTGTGTGTGTGTGTGTGTATGTTAGAGACGGGGTCTCACTCCATCACCCAAGCTGGAATACATTTCTATAATTATAGCTCACTGCAGCCTTGAACTCCTAGAATCAAGAAACCCAGAAATCTTCCTGCCTCAGCCTTCTGAGATGCTAAGAGTACAAGCACATGCCACTATGCCCAACTAATTTTTAAAACTGTTTGTAGAGATGGAGATGGGGTCTCACTCTACTACCCAGAGTGGTCTCAAACTCCTGGCTTCGAGCAATCCTCCTGCCTCAGCCTCCCATGGTGCTAGGATTACAGGTGTGAGCCACTGCACTTGGCCATCCACTTACACTTCTGAAGCCACTGTTGCCTCTGCCCTCAGAGGGTCCCACTAGGGCCAAATGTCTGAAAGTTCTCCCCTCTCCTGAGGCTGGGATATCCCAAGCTCACCGATAACTCCTCCATGCAAGGCCCTCACCTGGTTCCCCTTCCTCCACATCAACAGGTCTGAGGCTGGACACTTCTCACCCTCCTTCAATCTCTCCCACGGCCTCTCTGGCAGCCAGAGCCCAGGCAGAGCTGATTCCCAGCATTGGGAGGCCTGGGGACAGCTTTTTCCTTCAAGGGTTTTCCATGCAGGAATTCCATTAGGGGTATCCTTATCCACAACCTGATTGGAAATGCCCCAAGAAGAAGTTCTCTCAGGAATACTTGCAATCACAATCGTAACTAAAGTTCCAGTCACTGAGCTCTCCCTCCATGCCAGGTGCTTCTCACGTATTACCTGACTTAAACCCTACAACGGTCCTATATGGGAACAATCCCGGTGGTGGAACAGGCATCCAACTCTGATTCCACCCTCCCACACTCTTCAGCTAGGCCCCCTCCCTTGTTACTGCTTCCTCACCAGCCAATAGGCACCAATTAACACATCAGCACCGTATTTTGCACAATCACTAAACAAGAAAGTGCTCCTGTCCCTCTGCCAGTCCCAGCCATCCCTGCACCATTGTAACTGTGGCCAGGTCCCTTCTCTTCTTTTTAGTTCCACTGACACTGGGGCAAAGACTCTTTCCTCTGGCCACTTGTATAATCCCTGATGGGACATGGCTCCTAGTTAGGGGCCTTCTGGTTTCATCCTAAGATGAAACCTGCCCATCTCCTAAGAAAGGTCACACCCAGACAACCTCACCTGTCACTGGACAGCAGAGGAGATGACCAAAGGCAGTCAGGCCACTCAAACCCAGCAGACCCTAGCCTCAGCTTTAGGTCATATGGTGGCCCCAGAACACAAAACTTCGGTGAGATAAAAAAGCCAGGCTGGACTAAGAGATGTTGAGACTGACCCTCCAAGGTGTCAAGAAGGAGCTTCCACGAATTCAGTCCTTCAGTCCTGGAACTCCCTCAACACCATCCCACCCTCTCCAGGGACAAGTCCTGCACCCTCAGACAGGAGCAGGCCAACAGTGCTCCACAGCTTTAGGAGAGCTCACCCTCCCTGTCCCAATGCCCTACCCTCTACCAAGTTCCCCAACTCTCTGCTTCTTTAGGAAAGACCCCTACCCACCTCCACTCCCATGCCCACCAGACAGTGACTTACCAGCCCAGGCCAAACCACAGAGAAGGGTCACTATCAGGGGGATATAGACCCTCATGGTGCCCTGTTGGAGGCCAGAAGGGGAGTGGCTGTTGGACTTTCACTAGAGTCAAGATGAATGTCACAGCTCTCAAATGAGCCTTATTCCACAGGCCGATCCTTTTAAAGACATCAGGACTCGTGGATCTGGTGTCTCCAGATCCTTCCAGGAAGAAAAAGGGGAGGGAGGGACCCCAGATGGATAGAAGGTGGAGAGGAGGTGGGGCCCTACAGCTGTTTGAAGCCAGAAGGAAGGTGACTAAGCAGGCAGGTAATGCCAGACGTTTGGAACAGGTAACGCTAGCTATTTGTAGCTAGAAAATAGGTCATTCAAGGGGGCAGGCATGGAAAATGGCCTTAGTTTGAGAGGTTCTTTGCCCAAATTAGGGACGCCCATGGATTCATCTTTGGGTGATCGCTACCAAACGCCCACCTACTTACAAGCCTCAGACCTGACCTTCCAAGGAGCCATAGGTTGGCTTCCTTTTTGAATTCTTGGTGTGTGGCATGACTCTGGCACGGAGTAAGGTGATCATTTCAAGTCTGACAAAGAATAAGTGCCAAGCAAGGGTTGGGGTCATTAGACAGGGAGACATAGGAAGTATGGGTCAGAAATGAGGGCTGTTCTTATTACCATCAAGCCCAACATTGCTAAATCACCTAAACTATTAGGCAAATGACTCTTTCTAAATCAGCATCTCAAATCTACATGTTTCAGGTTCTCCCAGGTTCTGGTTTATGAGGAAGGTGAAGGGTAAGTGGCCTCTTTAAGGAAGATGACTCTTCCTATCCTAGGAACCCAGGGTCCCATTTCCCTTCATCTGCCACTTATGCCTTTTCCTTGAGGGACTCCTCCCCAGTGACAGCAGGAGCTCCTCAGGGCTCCTCTGTTTCCAAGTCCTCCAGAAGAGGAGCAGCTTCCTGTGGTTTTCAAGTTTTGCCCTCATAATAAAGGTAAAACCTGCTAAGTAAAACACCTTTTCCAGAAAGAACACTGCCTGGGGATTCTCAGCCCTCTGGAAAAAAACGAAGCTATCAAAAACTATTTGATAAAAGGCAAAATCTCGGAGACCACTCTATGAGTGATTTTTTTTTTTTTCTGGAGGCAAGGGAGTAAAGCATGTCTTTGCCCACTGTACTTCAACAGTAGAAGTTTTTTCCTCTCTCTGGTCTTCAGCTTTCTTGTCTGTGAAATGATGGGGTCGGATGTGGCAATCCCTTCCAACTTTTCAGACTTGAGGTTTCCTGCCCACACCGCAGGCCAAGTAGTTACTGCTGAGTTGAGGAGACTCCTCCAACCGTTTGCTGTGTGGAAATGAGACCAAATGTGGGGCTTCCAGGAGGAAGGACAGGCCTAGAACAAGCCAGCCTTGCAAGAGCTTCACACCGGAAGCACAGGTGAGGAGTGTGCCTGGCCCTGCTCTTCCGGAAGGAAGCTGGTTAAAGGGAGTGAGAGCAGAAATGGTTGCTTGATTTGCATAAGTTTCATTTGCACAACCTAAAAGCAGGCTGCTGAGCCACCACCAGTCAGAAGCATCATCCTCCCTGTCATCGGCACCTCCAGCCTGGTCACGAGGGTGTCACTGGCTGGGCTAGGAAGTAATGATGCTCAGAGTTTGGAATTGTGTGGTCTGTCCTTTTCAAGTGCCCAGCTGGACGGACCCTGGCTGGAGCCAGGCTGTCAGAGCATGAGTGGAGTACCGCCCGACCAAGCTCCCCTGATGCCCAGCTGAGCTGACCACAGGATGGAGATTTAGGGGCAGGAGCTCTTCCTTCCATCAGGGGAAGGCAGGAGCAACGCAGGAGCTGAGGAAGACAGTTGAGACTGACCCCCGTAGAGGCAGATGGATTGTCTGAGAACCCAAATGTTTCAAACTGCATTCATCAGCGAGAAGGATGGCCTTAAGGACCCCCACTGACACTGACTGAGCACTCCTACGCATCACACACCAAGTGTATGTATTATCTCATTGTGTGTGTTACCTTGATGTTTACTACAACCTTAATGGGTACTATTGTTATCTTCATTTTACAGATGAGGAAACTGAGGCATAGAAGGTTAGGAGTTGTGCCCAGAAGCACAAAGTCATTAAGTTATGTAGCAATACTTTAGATTCAGGTCCACCTGACCAGAGGGCATCCTTGTAAGCACTGGGTGCCTCACTGGCATAATCATCACTTTCAACCACCACTTAATCATGCCTGGGTTACTATGCAAAGGGATTCAGATTCGTTGCAATCAAAGGGGTCTCAGGGGCCCTCTAGTTCCATTTCTTATTTGATGCTGTAACTCCCTAAATAGTCCTAGGAGTTGTCGAAATGGTTTTTCTACCTCCACTTTGATGCCCCTGATGCTGGGGGTAGGGGGATTAGGTCACACACTGTTCAGGCTGCTCATTCATGCCCACTCTTCATAGATCTGATTCCCAAACACCAGGGTTCTATAATCCAAGAAATGTTGACATGAGCAAAAGTAGATAGCAGAAAAAAAAATCCATTAAGCCAACAAATGGAGATTCATTAATACATTTATGCAAAAATGCCTCATAAACTTAGATTTCCATACACATTCACATGGATACATTAAATGTATTTCAAACAGTTCTCTTCCCTGCTGTCCTGGTCTGGATGGAGAACTCTGCTGCTCCTCCTCCTGGTTCTCCCCTAGTTAGGTACTCACATTGGCATTCCACACTGCAAGCTTCCCTAGGAGCCACAGTGGGGACCAGCCAGCAAAGTGGGAGTCCCAGTAGGCTGGGTCCCAGAAAGCTGGGTCAGGGAGAGGGTCGTGGGAGATGCATGGTGGGCAGGATCCCCAACGATGAGAAAACTAACAGAGATGCTGTTTTTGTGGCCTCCATGGAAGTTTGGAATGTGGGAAAGAGGGTGAAGCTGCCAGGAGGCAGTCAGCTGTCAGAGAGGCAGGGAATGAAAATTATATTGGCAAATAGTTCGTTGAGTGCTCACTATATGCCAGGTGCTACACTGTTATTGCACTAGCAGGGCTCAGGCCAGGCTGAAAAAACCTCCCTGGAGCTCAATGGACTGTTCCCGCAGGACAGAGGCCAAATAAGCCCCAGCATTAGGCCATTGTTTGAATTAGGCCCCACTCATCTCTAGGCCACCACAGATGATCTGGGGTCTGTAAGGATCTGGGGCAATGAGAGAGACTGGCTCAGGGGACTACCACAGAGGACACCCGCCTAGACCAGTCCCCCTGCAAAACCAAAGCTAAGTCATTTCAGCAGAGAACTTGAGCCTAGAAGGATTCTGCTCAGCATAGGTGAGGCCTGGACTCACTTCCCAGAGGGACTGTGAAACCTTAAGATGCTGGATATCCTGCCTCTGTCCCACTATAACCTGGGAGTGCTGCCCAGGCCCCAGAGAGTGGCTAGGGATGGCCACCCACATCTGATCTCACTGAATATGTCTTAGAAATGGCTCCATGTGTGATTTATTTCCCCACAGTGCTTGTGTGCCGCATACCACGTCTGCGTGCCCAGGCTTTTGTCTGAGGGTGTGGCTGGTCCTGACATCCAGCATCACGCTTGCTGCTACTCTGGCATCTCTGTCGGACCTGCCATCGGGGCCCAATCATCACATCCTGGGCTGTGTTCCTGGTTCTGAAGGCCACACCCATGGCATGCCAGCCCTCAGCCTGGAATGCCCTCTCCCCACCCTATCTGCTCAGCTGTCTATCTCCTACTCAGCCTCCAACCCCAGGGCAAATCCATCCTCCCACAAAACCTGGCCTCCTCTGTCCAGCCCACAGGATTGTCTGGCCTATGACTTAGTTTTTGGCATTTGTCCCGTGTGCCTTTGAGCCACCTGTGATATAGCTGTTGCTGCCAAGGGGGTGGCAGTAAACCCCTGCTCTGTCATATAGCTTTTCCTCCCTACAGAGTGTTTTCTTAGTTCACCTCTGAAGTTCCTGCAGCTGCTTTGCATTGTCATCCTATGTCTTAGAAAACTGCCCACATATGCCTAGAGCCAGCAGTGATCAGTCACTAATGAGTAGGGAACAGGTTGGCCTTCTGACCCTACTTGTTATTAAAGGCTGGGGTGAAGATGATTAGCACCCCATTAGTGGAGGGCAGATGGCATTAGTGGAGGGCAGATGGCTCCCCCAGGAGCTGCAGTGGCACCAGCATTGGGGGGAGGGCTTGCAGACAGTGAGTGGAACTGGGGTCCAGGAACTCATCCCAAAGTTGTGTTTTCATAGCTGACACACCATTTTTAGCTATATTGTTTATTTGGGCCTAATGGAAAGTCAGGGAAACCTAAACCCTTAGCACTACCACTGCAAAGGGGCAGCCACCAGCAGTTTCTGAATCCACAGGGTAACAGATAACTCAACTTCCTTCATCCTGCTTTTTTAGGATTCCAAAGTGAACACCTGCCTACTTTTTGCCAGCTGTGCTAATGTTTATTGTACACTGCCTGACTGTGATTATAAAATAAAATTACTATTGCACGTCCTCAGACTCCACTGGCTTCGGAGCATGTCTGCAGGCACAATGGGAACAAAGAGAAGTAGAGGAGACAGGCAGACAGAGATAAGGAGGCCGAGAGACAAGGGAGGCGTGAGCAAGGCTGAGATTAAGAGAGGTAGCCACGCCCGAGGCTGAGCAGGAGCTGGGCACAGAGTGACATGTGGTACCTGGACCAGCTCTTCTCCCAAGTGTGTGGGCAGTTGTCTGTTCTGCCCTCAGAGATGACAGGAGGATATCAGAACTGGCAGGAGCAGTTCCTGACCCATAATTTGAAAATTTACAATCTGGCAAAATTATCATTACCGTGTGAAGATAGTTAGATTACGGGAAATTTACCCCCTTCTCAGTCACTCATTCGTTCAGCCGACATGTAGTCGTTGAGTGCCACTGTGTGCCAGACATAAGGGCGTGGACTCAGCATCTGGAGGGAAAGGAAGACCACAAGCGATGCGCATTCATAGCTGTGACCAGAGCAGGGCACAGAGCTGAGACCATCAATCCTACAGCTGGACCGCCCGGAGGCGAATCCAGCTCGGCCACTCAGCAGCTGTACTGCCCTGGGCAAGTGCTCTGACGCTGCACCCCAGTTTACCCTGTGCGTGTAGAAGAGAGCAAGTAAGCGTGCCTTACAGGGCTGCTTTGCAGACCACATGAATTAAT